ACTTATAATGTCGGCTTAATCTTGCAATTTTCAATATTTCGTACAAGATATGGGATCAAAAACCTCTAAGATTCAAGGACATTTCTCTCCTCCTGTCTCAACGGATGGAAACTTTCCAAATCACGTCATGGGTTTGAAAGCTGGATATGCTGCAAACTGATGGTTTGAAAGGACAAATAACCGTCGTAGAAAAAAAATCTTGCACCTTCAAAGACATCTTGAGCACAAGATCGTTTGATCTTTTCAATAAGTCTTAGTTTAGGTTGACTAGGATGAAAGTATGCACAAATTATCATAAGTATGCCGTCTCATGAATCCGCTCCTCTCCCCATCCATTTCGCTAATTAAGAAAAAAAAATATTCAAATTTTATTAGCGGGGTCTCAACTTTCAAATTATCACATAACACGAATTTGTAGAATTTCATTGGTTTTTTCCTAGATTTATTCTCGCGAAAGCATATTTAAGCTTTTAAACTTATTTTAAATACATATTACATTATTTTAGGTTATCAAATGCAAGAAAGGCGGAAGCGTGCTGTCTATAGCCTTATACATATATAAATAAATTAATAAATCAATGGAAAAAGTACAAATTATATAATATGATGAAGAAAGGGTTAGTATATGTAATGAAAATCAGAGAGATACAATTCATAGTCTTTTTGAATGTAGTAAGGTAACAAGGCAAACATTGGCTTTGTGCCGCGTCTATTGCGATCTGCAGATCGCTTCACCTTTCTTTCACTAATGATTTTGCAACGCAGTACAACCTAGAGAAGAAAAGTTTTATTTTTCTCCGCTTCCTTTTCCTCCACCGAGAGGGATGAGTTCCCTAGGGAAACAGCTCTCTCCTCTCCCCAGCGGGGATCTTTCTTTGGCCCTAAGGGTCTAAGAAAAGCGAAGGCGTTTAAACGTAAAGCTCTTCCCTGACTGACTCAAAAGGCAATCTCTTAAATATGTACAAGTTCAGTAGACAGAATTGTTAAATTTTGTCCGTTCTTATCTAGTCATCTTATCGATTTGCAGAAGAAATATGCTGAAAAATATGCAAAGTTGAAAATTAACCCAAAGGTGAGATGAGTTACATACATTTTACACTGCTAAAAAACTATTGCTCCTTTAGGAAAATGTGGAACAAATTTTGAAAGAAGTTTACGCACTCCTATTACGTGTTGATGAGTTGGAACAAGCTCAGAGCAAATATCTGGGACAAATCCAGGAGTTAACAAAGGCCTTGGCTTTGAAGGATGAAGTTAGTGTATGGCAAAAAATCTTTTAATAAATCGCCATATGATTTGCAGAAGATCAACGAGTTGAGTAAGAAGGGAGCAGAAACTGCAGTTCCAGCAGGTGTTCCTGTAACTCTTCCAACTTCTTCAACGGTAAAAAAAGAAAAGACGGAAATAGGTTCGGCGGAGGAGGATAAAATGGTGAATTCCACTGACTTCAAGGAAAATAGTTCGAAGTGCATGTTCCTTTAGTCCCCTCAGCTAGAAGCTGTTGCTCTACGCGGTTTGGATATCATGAAGCGCAATCAGTTACTTGAGCAGACAGTTAACGAAAATGAGGCAAAATCACTTGTCAGCTTTTTTGAGTCCGAGGAGCCAAAACCAGACAAATTGGTAAAGTGTTTGTTCTTGTACGAAAATAGCTTTTAAACGGCTAAGCTCAGCTTTTTCAAGGTGGTTGCCCTTATTGACAAAGCATTGACTTATGGGGTCGAGGTACTTCTAACGAGACCAGACCTTTTCGAGGATTTCGTCGACAACGAGTTGAGATTGTTCCTGATTGACGCTAGCAAGGTTTGCTCAGAGAAAATTTGGGTATGGATGAGGAAAAACCCCATCTCAATTGCTATTTTCAGGCAAAACGCGCTCTGCTCGATTGCATGCTTCTTCATCCTGAGTACGTTCCTACAAAGTGGGGAGGAAACATATTAAGAAAACGGCAGCAAAAACGTCAGATGAAAGCAGATGCAGCAAAAAGAGAGCCAGAAGAAAGCATACCTGCAGAAAATGCAAAGAAGGAACCAGAAAAGGATAAAAGTCCAAGTACTGGGATACAAAGTGCCCTGGAAACAACTCGAAACATATTTGATTACTTGGTGGAAGCAGGTAAATGGGCAGCATCAGCAGCCAATACAGCGACGACAAGGGAAAAGACTACTTTGGAGAAATTCTTGAGTGATACTAGACCGATAGTTGTAGAAACTAAGAGCAGTAAAGGTGAAGGGAAATTGGAAAGTGAGAAAAAATTAAGCGAAGGGAAATCGGAAAGTGAGAAAAAAATAAGTGAGGGAAAATCGGAAAGTGGGAAGAAAGTGATTGAAGGAAAATCAGAAAGTGAGAATAAATTGAAGCAAGAGGCGAAACCCGAGGTAGAGAAGAAACTTGAAAAGGCAGAGCCCAAGGAATCGAAAACAGCGGAAAGCAAAAGTGAAGGCGAGGTAAAGGCAAAAACAGAACAAGGAAGCTTTGAGAAGGTTGCCAAAAAGCAAATCAGATATACTAAGCCCGTAGGAAAGTATTGGAAATATCGTAGCACTGTAGCGGTAAGTACTACTATTTTAAGGTGAAGGGTTATAACTTGAAAAAATTCAAATAGTTACAGAAAAGCCCTCCTAATGCAGCTTGGATACAGGATCGTGAACGAATGCGCAGTAGAGCCAAAGCGAGATTGAAACGTCCTCCGAAAAAGAGTTGATAAAAATCAAAAGAAGTTTCTAATTTTACGCCGAATTTACATCGTTAAAAGATAGAGATTCTTTGCCATAGGTTCTTATGGTGTGGAATATTGAGGGCATTAAGTTGAATAAAGATGAAAGTGATTGATGTTGCCAAGAAAAACTTCTGGTTTCTATATTTTCTAAAGAGTGCTTCGAACATTCCGTCCTCAAATTAATTAATTTAAAACAGAAGAAACATTAGTAAAAACGTTTACAAGAAATAAATAAATAACTAAATAAATATATTTCCCAATAAAGCAGAAAGTCTGCAATGTATGTATGTGTATGTGTATGTATGCATGTATGTGTCTTCAGAGTACAAATTTTTATTTCTGAACGATAAGGCCCAAACCTTGCATACATACATTTCAAACGCCGGCGATTAACAAGGCTAATTTATGCAGTAGTTAGTTGTCTGATGGCGTTGATTTGCGAATTTTGGGCCAGATTAGTTCAATTTAAGAAAATGAAGTGATTCAATCGTTATCAGACTACTAAAAAGGGAAGGATACTCAGTGACCGTGGCTGTTCAGGATGAGATGTAAATCACAAGATTGGTCCTAGAACACAACTCTCAAACATTCCTTCCTTATCTGCCAAACGATTCTTATAAGGAAATTACGGACCGGCAAATTTCAACAAGGTTGTTTGTAAGAACTTCAATAACAACATGCTCCAGGAGTCTGTGGTGTAGTGGCAAGTGTGCTTTCTGTCAGATAAGGCATGCAGGTTCGATTGCTGTATGGTGCGAATTTTTGCATTTATTCTAAAATGCTTCTTTTTACCAGAAAGCCGATTTCCATCATTATGCTATTTTTACATTCATGAATGAATGAAAAATTGGTAAGGAAGGATAATTTTTAAACTAAATATTAACTCCAACCACATTCTACAATAACAGTTCACAAAGACCGCTTCTTATCAACTCACATAGAGTCTACTACTAAATGACTGAAGCAGAGAAGATGCTCGCAATGAGCGCAGCGAATTAAAAAACAGTTTACTGTAACCGGCTAGATCACAATGGCCTAGCAAGTTGGGCAAAAAGCAATACTGGACAGGAGTTTAATGGCCAGGGTGCGTGTCTAGAT